AATTTATTAAAAACGCTCATTGACGCGAGCGTTTGTCGATTTAAACTTGAAATTTGTACCAAGCTTACTTAGAGACTTTCTTAAATTATTCGGAAATATCACGTCACTTCCATTTGAAAATAATCTTCCTTTCAATGAAACTGTTTTTATTTTTATTTTATTATCGTTTTTATACTTTACAGCAACAATTGTTTATTTGCTTAATTGGAAAATATGTATATAGAAAATTTATTGATGACTGATTTATCCTATTTTATATAAAAAATATTTTATTAGTATTTAGTTAAACCAATGTAGCAAACTTGATCACGATTTAGATTTTAATAATTTTATTATAGCTTTTTCAAAAATTATAAGTTATTAAAATTATAAGTTATTTAGAAAAATTATGCAAAATAAATGACTAAAATTTAATAAATTTGTATATACGATGTTTAAACATATTGACTTTAAGAAAATTAAACAAGTATCCATATAAATATATGTTTCAAGTATAACTATAATTCGACATATTACATACAAAAATAATAAATGCATTTTAGAAGCAAAAATAAAATATTGAGCAAGTTAAAGAATATTTTTCAAAAATATAATCCAATTTAAAGTACTAGCGTTTGTCCAAACAAATAAAAATTCGTCTAAGGCGCCTCGAGAAAGAAATCATTAATTAACATAATTACGCACTTGCAATAAAATGTTTACAAATAGCAATAAAATTCACTATCAAATTTTAATCTATACCAGTATTACCTGTTATTATTTTAATAGAACAAAGCAAGGAAAATCCTGTAAAAATTATATCTTAATTTAATATATTATAATTATAGCTAATCTTATCGAACCGGTAGTAAAAATATAAAACAGCACAGGGGGGTCGCGGCACAGTGGTGACGTGGCATAGTTGGATCAAGTATAATGATATCTGACAGTGATTAAAATCACTATCAAAAAAAAACGCTTCGATGCAAATCTTTAGATAGTGTTTAATTTTAAAAAATTGGTGGATTATTCCAAAAGCTTAATGATCTGCTAGTTCATTATTAATATCCTGATTAAGATAAAGTATGTCGAATGAAAAAGGGATTATTAAAAAATATTATTTCTCATAAAAAAATTGTGTTGATCCATAAACTTTTCAATAAGTTATAGCATTATAAAGTTATAAATAAAAAAAAAAACCCAGCACAGGGGGGTCGCGGCACAGTGGTGACGTGGCATAGTTGGATCAAGTATAATGATATCTGACAGTGATTAAAATCACTATCAAAAAAAAACGCTTCGATGCAAATCTTTAGATAGTGTTTAATTTTAAAAAATTGGTGAATTATTCCAAAAGCTTCATAAACTGCTAGTTCATTATTAATATTCTGATTAAAATAAAGTATATCGAATGAAAAAGGAATTATTAAAAAATAGTATTTCCCATAAAAAAATATATTGATCAATACACTTTTCAATAAGTTATAGCATTATAAAGTTAAAAATGTAAAAAATAAAAGATAAAATAAAGTCCGAAATTTTTTTTTACCATTATAAAGTATATTACATTAGCTTTAATTTAAGATATACATAAAAGTGTCAGACCTTCCAGAACACTTTCACAAGTTAAGTTGAAAAAATTAATTTTTTGTAAAAAAGTTGTCATTTTATATTGCCCCCTGTAGTAAGGTAAAAATTCAGATTTATAAAAAAAATATACCAAATGATAGGTAATGACATCATTCATCTATAAAAAAAAGAATTATATTGATATGTTAATTTTTGAAAAAGTTATGGCAGTTTCAAGTAAAAATTATGAAAATTAGCGATTTTATAAATTTGTAATTTTTTTGGAGGTTTCCCCCCTTTACGGGAAACGAGGGAAATTTTTTCAATTTTTGAGGGTAATATCTTAGACTAGATACGATTTATGATCTTTTGATATATCGTTGAAAGAAATCAGTCTAATGAGAGCTGAGAAAAAGTAGTAACAGACACAAAAAAAAAAATACATCATAATAAAATTAATACCTTCTCAGCTTAGCATACAAGTTAGTATACTTCATAAAAATTATCATTATCAATTACAAAAAACCAACTTTCCAATGAAATTGATCCTACAATTTTTGATTCAGGATACACAATGTAATTCTCGATACAAATTATAATATTAATATGTTCATTTTTGAAAAAGTTATGGCACTTTTAAGTAAAAAAATTGAAAAAATTTCGAAAATTAGCGATTTTTAAATTTGTAATTTTTTTGGAGGTTTCCCCCATTTACGGGGAACGAGGGAATTTTTTTCAATTTTTAAGGGTAATGTCTTCGACTAGATACGATTTGTGATCTTTTGAC